CTTTGGTGCGCCATATTGAAATATGTCTTGCTAATATTGTGGCTTCCCTTCCTGTCCTGTTGTGCACAGATCTACTCCAACAGAGAGCTCGAGGACCAGCTGACCAAGATCAGAGAAGTGCTGTCTGATGACAAACATGACTGGGAGCACCGAGTGGTTGCGGTGAGATTCTGGAAGCACATGTGTCCTCTTTAAAACACACACACACACACACACTTACATATAAAGATGACAGGTAATATATATTTGATCGTGACTTTTTTTCCCTCTTTTCTCATTCCTCTGTAGCTGAAGAAGGTCCGTTCCCTCATGTTGGCGGGTGCCACTGATTATGAAGGTTTCCCTCAGCAGCTTCGACTTCTTGAGGCTTCCTTCAAGCTGTCAGCTAAAGACCTGCGCTCCCAGGTGGTCCGAGAGGCCTGCATCACGCTGGGGTAAGAGACTGAGATTTTCGAAGCCTTGCAACACCCTTAACCACCCGCAACATCAACATGTGTCTGGGAACAATTTTATAGAATAATTTAACATTTAAAAAAACAGATGAGATGACATGTATTCAGACAAATAAGTGAGATTTCAACAACATCTCAGTTTTTCCACATACATCGAGTCTGTTGTTGTTATAATATGTACATGAAGATTTATTTCATGCTGTGTAAACCCATCCAGTGGGCTGACTCAGACCCTTTGGCAAGCTGGCACCAGTGTAAATTGTCAGCTGGCCATTAGGTATAAGTACCTGCTGTAATCAGTCACCTGCAAATTGTTTTCTGAAACGTTCACCACCAGGCAGCAGAATTATACCAGTGGGTGTGCTGCTGGTTTTCTTTTTCTTTTCCCATTTCTTTCAGAGACCTCCTTTTTGAATTCTTATTATCATTTCCCTGGTTGACTCACTGCAGCTGTTGTTTCTTCAAATTCTGTTAAAGCTGTAGTTAATGGAAGACTTTTTAAAAACAGTATTAGTAATATGTACCTTAAAAATTTAAACTTAGTTGACCTTAAACCCTGGATGGCAAGAAAAAGAACTTTAAGTAAATGACAGAAAAAAAACTGAATTTGCTTTTTTTCTTTCTCCTCTTTGAGTTGATTGGTTTTCCTGTCGTAGCAGATTTTGATCTTTTTATAATCTAAATGTGTAACAATTAATTTATTTTAATAATAAAATAATTAGTTAAATAAAATGAAAGCCTGTAATTAACAATCCTTTTATGCGTGAACATCCCTGGTTTAAGAGCGGGAGGAGACCCAGTCCCAGCTTCAGGAATCATATGTGCTCTGAGTCAATCAATCAATCAATCAAAATTTATTTATATAGCACATCTAAAAACAACAGTTTTGATCAAAGTGCTTCACAAATTAAAAAAAAAAAGAATAAATAAATAAATAATAAAATAAAATAAAATAAGACAAATACAACGCAAGACGAGACAAACATAGAAACCAACCAAATGATAATCAAACTATCTTACATCAAAGCCAGAGTAAAAAGATGGGTCTTTAAACGAGATTTAAAAGACTGAACAGTTTCAGAAGAGCGAATGGCAAT